TGTGTCTGATTTCCAAGTTATGAATTGGGTACCTTGTCCCTACTTTCCTTCCTTCTGTTTTTATGCACATTGTCTTCCATTTTAGGGTTTGCTATATCCATAGCACAGCATTGCGCTCAGGACTGAGTATACTTGACATAACATTAAAAAGGATTGTCTGACCATATGGCTTCAAAAGCTATCCTATGCTACTTTTACATGCTACACACATGAAGGGACATCCTCCTCCTTCTTCCAGCATAGAGCATCCAACTGGCCATGCTTTGAGATATCCAAGAGTTGTAATAATCATTTATGATAAAGCAAAGTGTCTATAAACATCTGATCATCTGAAAAATGTACTGCAATTAGTATCAGGACAATCATGTATAGAGTTACTTGCATCAGAGGCTGTTGATTGTGCCTGTTTCTAGCTCATCTTATTGTGAGAATCCTGACAATAATTCCAGCAATTCCTTTATTACCATTTTATAGGAGGATAACTAAGGAAGGCCCCGACTCTAGCATAGGTTGATGTAGTTCCTTAAGCAGTTTTAAACGGAATATACAAAGAGAGACCAGTTAAGTCCAGATTCTTCCCAGGTGATAAAGGAGCTATAGAAACTACCAAACATGTCTTACTGTATTGTTCATTTTATGCTGACACTCTCTATTAGCTGCAAATTCCACACAAATATCCTGGTTACTTTGATCAGTTCCATTTAAACCTTTTGCTTTCAGATTTAAATGACTATTTTCTTAAAGGTAAAGGTAAAGGTTCCCCCGCACATGTGTGCTTGTCGTTTCCAACTCTAGGGACAATGCTCATCACCGTTTCTAAGCCGAAGGGCCAGTGCTGTCCAAAGACGTCTCTGTGGTCATGTGGCCGGCATGACTAAATGCCAAAGGTGCACGGAGCACTGTTACCTTCCCATCAAAGTGGTCCCTATTTTTCTACTTGCATTTTTTTACATGCATTCAAACTGCTAGGTTGGCAGAAGCTGGGACAAGTAACGGGAGCTCACTCCATTACGCTAGGGATTCGAACTGCTGAACTGCCAACCTTCTGATTGACAAGCTCAGCATCTTAGCCACTGAACCATCATGTCCCTATTTCCTTAAGGGCAGCCAAATTCTGTTTTGTAATATGTAAGATGCACAGCAGTTTGGGTGAATTTGTTTACCTACCTACCTAACCAATAACAATTTTATGTAACCAAGTGTTTTTTTACAGATTGGTCATTGATTATAGTCTATTCTACAGGAAGATAAAGAAAACTTCTCAAATATCTAGTTACAAGTTATGGTGACTGACACCTTTCCCATAGTGTCTTTCAAATTTTGATCAAAGGAGACACATTCATTGTGTATCTAATCACACTTGGCCTTGCCTTGCCTGCTAATACTTTTCTTCAGCAATAGGCTGGAATGCTGCAACAATAGATCCAGGAGGCAATTCAGAATAACTTTTTAAAGCCATCAGTGAGCCAACTTGTACAACAGATGAATCAAGCTATCAAGAGCCAGCTGCAGTATAGAAACTAAACTGAGATTCCTTCATTCCTTGCCTGATTTGTATGATGAAGTCTGATGGATTTAAATCCTTCAACACTCAGTATGAATGGATAGCAGGGAATTCCCCAAAGATCATTTCTGGGGAGATTGGAGAAGCTATAAAATGGACAGTCCCTCTTCTGGAAAACAACTGTCCTTTCATAGACAATTGTACTAATTTCATGGGCAAATTGAAAGCTTACCAAGTTTGCGTTATTATTTAGTTCAATCTTCTACTCACATTTCAGCATTTCAGGCCTCATATGGCTACCATCCCCACCTGTTGCCAGACTCTCCATCCTCCTTGAGGTTTTGCATTTTCAACAGTAATTTTAGGCACCATACTAGCTTTTCAAATAACAGATGGATGTTGTCAAGGCTTCCTACAAGGAAGATGCTGACTGTCATTGGCAATATGACCTTCCTATTTCTGCTGGGACATGGCTTTCTGCTAAGTTCCATGCTCCAAGAAAATTGATGCTCAGCTAACTTTCCTCTTCAACTCCCACCTATGATAAAAAATATAGTTGGTTTTATCCCATCCCCTTCTGGATCTTGAATGCTTTCCATGCAACTTACATTCCTACATCCAACTCCCCTCCAGTTTGAGAAGAACAATTTAAGGTAAAATCTATTTTGGATTCCCACTGCAAGAACAATTGGAATATCTAATTCAATGGAAGGGGCATCCAGGTATAGAAAATCCTGAGAAATAGCAGAAAACACATTCATGTGCTATACCCACACAAACTCCAGACTCTTAACCAGACTTGTAATCCATCCACAATACAATGACTATTTTGCCTCCGAGGGGAAAGAAACTCATATTTAGACAACCAGGAGGCAGTGGTGGGCAGTACGTCATTCAGGAAAACTGATCCATCTGAGTTTTGGAGAAGGGGATCAAGGGACAAACCTCCAGGAAATAACCATTCCTCCCTTCCCAACTCTAAATTGGATAGATATTCTCCTACCTCATATTTTCCTCCTTGATCATGTCTGGAGTTGTTTTGACCAACGAAAAACTGTCTGGATTCTCCCATGAAGCCTCCTCTCTAATAAGTGGAAATACTTTTTTGTCTAGGTTTCTGTACCATACAGTTTCCCCTAAGAAGGAGAGGAAGGTTCCTCTACAGACACCCAGAGAGAAGTGTATTAAGTAAAAACACCCCTACTTGCCATGTAGAAGGATGGGCGAAGAATAATCAGGTTTCATTGGAAATATGGGAGAATGAAGGAAAAAGGGACATGGAAGCTAGTTTTCAGTTCAGAAGCAAATAGTTTAAAACAAGGGAACAACCCACACAACAGATAATCTTCAAAGCAGTTGCAGGTACAGGTGGAAGAAAGTGGCCCAAGAATTTACATTCTTAATACAGACCTTAATTGTCTATAAATGGGGCCTCCATTGGAGACGTAGCAGATATTGATTTCTTCCTATAATAAATTACTTACCAAAAGTTCTTGATTTCGTTTTGTGGTTGTTTCCAATCTGGTTTGCAGAGAGAGTCTTGAAGATAGGAATGCAAATAACATCAATGCCCCGTGAATATTAAGCACCAAACCTGGAAAACTCAAAGCCAAGAGACAGTTAGATTGTGGGAAAGGAGGAAAGAAGAAACCTAAGTTTTAAACTAGAACAAGTGCTACAAAGATCTGGGATCTTGTTTTGCAGACAGAAATCAACTGATTATTATGATTTTTATTTTGGTTGTAGGAAATTGAAGGAAATGGGAATGCCTAACCTTGAGAAGAAAAAAACCTGAGGTAGGGTTTGATAGTAATGTTCAAATACCTGGAAGTTACATAAGTGTTACATAGGACAATATGAAAATGTGCTTTCTTTCATCTCAGGGTACAGGACATTAGATAACGGATTTAAGTTACATAAAGGCAGTTTGACAGTAGAACCAACTACCCCAAGGGTTGCTGGATTCTCCTTCCAAGGAAGAATTGAAATGGAAGTTAAGCAGCCGTCTGTCTGGGTTGCTTTAATTTAGATTCTGGCACTAAGCAAGGAGTTGAATATGGTTTTAATGAACCTTTCCAATTCTATGCTTTTAAACTCAGTATTTAAGGGAACAAGGTCTTTTCTTTCTCCAAAACAAGGGAAAAAAAGGTTTTCGGATAAGGGGAAAAATGCTGCTTAACTATTCCTTTTATTCTTTTGCATGTAATCTTGGGAAATATAAGGTTCTTCACATCCTCAAAAGGTGAAGAGGGAGAAGAAATTAAACACTAAACAGCCTGTCTCCATCTTCATAAACTGGTGGGAACATTGGCACAAGGCAGACACAAAGAAGCACTTGATTGTACCACAAATCCAGTGTGGTCCTGCATCTTGAAAAGGATGTAGAATGGTTGTAGATCCTTTGGGGGTGGGTAGGGGGTAAGGAGAGGTTGCAACCTCTTCCCTGTCATTGCAAAGCAAAGGAGATTTCACTGGGCTCCTAATCCAGATTAGCAAAGCCTGCTAACGTTCTTGGGTAGCCATTCAGTTTTATCTTCCATTCTGACCGATGCAGGCAATCAATGGTGAATTACATATAGGCATATCTTTCAGGATAGGTCATCCACCCAAGAGATTTAGAATGCATGGGAATCTATTTTAAAACAGTGGAAACATTGAAAAATATGATAAAGGGAAGTAAACCTTTATCTAGCTACCCAAATTGCCTGCCAAAACAGGAAGGTCTTTCCTTGCCCTAAGCAGATTCTTAGAATAAAAATACTGACAAATATCTGTAAGGTAGACATACAATAGATGAAACCACTACTCTATTTGACCTCACATTTGCATTTCTTATATTCAAATCCTTGTGCAAATCAGCCGTTCATTCTTAAAACTTGTGCTCGCAAAACTGATTCTGTAATTGTATGTGTTTTGTACTTTGTAACATTTATCAGCAGACATAAAAAATAAAATAAAAATGTTGCCAATTGCTTTTAATAAGAAATCAGCTGGAGAGGAACAAAAACCTGGCTGCCAATATCCTGTTATCTAAGGCTCTTTGGCAGGAGGATGGATTTCACTCATTTTCCAGCTGAGTTTTGGCAAGTGATCTTTTCTTTTCCCCTAGTGTCAAAGAAGCCATTCCCTCCGTAGACCTGTACTTGCAATTAAACATTTTCCTTTAAGTATATACAAAAACATAAATAATGCATTTCCTGAAGTCTCTCTGGGATACGGTAACTTGATCTGATAATCTCTTCTCCATCGCTCCACTTTACCCAGGGAGAATATAGTCAACCCATAGTCCAGTCAACCCATAGTCAACTATTTGCAATTCATAATGCAAACAGTGCATTTGCACAAGTATTATGAAGACCAGCGAGTTCAGTTCCTTGCCTATTATCTGGTCACCATTTTGTCCAGCCTTATCAGTCTTACATTCCATCAAGTGAGCCGGCAGTCTTCAAACTTGGGCTCAAGTTGCAAAAGCATTCAGCTTCCCTGAATAGGGTGATACCACAGGCAGAATACATTTTTGTAAAACTGGGTACCATGGACTTTAACATTTAAACTTTAACACAGAGCTTGGGTTTGTTGGATTGCTTGCTTGCTGTTTTTTTTTAATAGGCAAAGGACCTCCAGCTCCAAGGCTCTTTTATGGTGAGATTTTCCTTATACTTTCCAGTATTATGCCTATTTTCCAGTTGAGGCTTTGAGTTACTTGCTGATTTTGCTGATTTGTCATTACTGGAAGCCTGTGCAGGTCTCAGTAGAAATGACGCAGCAACACTTTGGAATTTTAAAAGATTAAGTGGGGTGGGGGTTGGGGGTTGGAAATAAGGTTGAATTTTTTCATGCACTAGCTGTAACCAATCTACTTCTGCCTGATGCCAAAAAATTAAACACAGTTAAAGCCAGACTCCTTTCAGCAGTGAGTTGATTGCTTTAAATAAGGGAGATTTCCTGAATGTTTAAATTGAAACTTCTACTATGATTAAAGCAACAAGAAGGACCAGAATGGCTTCCTAACTATTTAGTTCCTAGAATTCCTGTGAGGTCTGGAGATGACAAATTCAATTCTGATGTGCTGTGTTTTACACTCTGCAGGCTGCACTAAAAAGGGGAAACTAATCAGGCTTCGGTTTCCCAGGGGCTCTTTTCATATTTAAACTCATGGAAATATGTTAAAACCCTCATCGATTGGGTGAGGATTATACCATATGAAATCTATGCCAGTAGGTGTTTTTTGTTGTTGTTGTTTGTTTGTTTTATTTTGACTGAGTGCATATTTAGAATTCATTTAAGCTGCTTGGAAAATATATATATCTATATACTCCAGTCTTATTATAGTTAGAAATGGTTAGAATAAAAATATGTAAGACAATGCATAAGAACTTGAACTGTAAATACATTTATTTTGTAAGACATTAAAACAATCAGATACAGTGGAATGTTTCTGTTAGAAAACATAACAGTATGTCTTTTTTGTGTTGCGATTTAAGGTTTAATTTGTATTGGTTCCTGGTAGGGATATGTCCAAATCATGTACCCAATATAAAGATGTTGAGCTGTAGTTTACCATTACATGCATGAGAGATCCCGACAGCTAACAGGAAGATAGTGCAAGCCAACAATTGGAGAAATTATTTTAGGTTGTCCAAACTAGGAAATATTCTTAATGTGACTTACAATATTTTCAAAGAAACCTGTTTAAATTACGGTTTTGATCCTGATTTGTTTGGATTAAGTAAAACTAAAGCTAACACATGATGTGTGCTTCACACAAAACTGCAAGCTACAATAGCTTCCAGTTCACCTGAGAGCTTGGGATGATTTCCTCATAGGAGAGGTGGGAAAAAGGGCAGCTACCTAGAAGTCCTCCAGATTTGAGCAACCTGAGTTTTGTAGCCCTAGAGAATAGATCTTAGCTTTAATAAACACTCTGTCAAGCTTGATTGCGTTATAATCAATTTCTTAGTTCAGGATATAGGTCTCCTCCTCCTCCTCCTTCTCCTCTTTGAGTATTGAGGAAAATATCAAGTTCTGGATCTTGTTTTTCTGGCAGCCTCAACCATTATGATGTTATCTCCCCATCTTCTTCTAGGTCTGCCACATGTTCTTTGACCTTCTCCTCTTTTTGTATATGCCTTGTACGGTATGGAATCCCACAACATCCTCTCCAGGTGAGCAAATCACTTTATTTGCTGTTTTTTAATACAGGCCTGATACAAGCAACATGATTTCTGACAAGGGAAGCTTATTTAAGTGTAAAATAATATGTCCTTTTCATAGAACATTGTAAATAACTGTAAACCGATGCTACATTTATTGTGCTTGGCATTGGCAGTCTTAAATCTTATTGATGCGACCCAAAGATGTATCATATTTTTAGGATTATAAAACGCACCTACCTTTTTTGGTGAGGAAAAGAAGAAAAAGAAATCTCCCTCTGTCTCTGCCTCTGAGCAATTTTGCCTCATTGCAGCAAACAGCAAACAGCCTGCTTTACTTTCATTTTCGTTTTCAGCATAGCTTGATTAGAAAAATCTGCTCTAGCAATTTACCTCCTTGCAGCAAGCAGCAGAGCCCTTCGCAAAACAGCTGAGAGCAAATCAGCTGAGAGTCGGGAGGCTGATCCAATCAACTTGTGCTAATTAGGCTGTGCTGAAGCTGAAAGGAGCTGTTTTTTCTTGCTGTTTTACTTGCAAGGAGGTAACTGCTGTGAGGCACAGGCCAAAGGGTGGGGGCCAGTGGTTGGACGGGGCTACATTCGGTGTATAAGACGCACCTAAATTTTCACCCCCTTTTAGGGGGAAAAGGTGCGTCTTATACTCCAAAAAATACGGTATTTGTGTCAGCAAAGATTCCATGTGCAGCAACAATGAAGCTCTAAGTTCTCTCTCTCTCTCTTTCTCTCTCTGAATGTATATGTATGTATATAGATATGGTATAAAATCTCAAGACTACTATTGTTGCTTTTTAGGTTTATATTCTTTGTGGAACATTAAGAGTAGCAGAAATAAGGAAAAAAATGCCTACACACACCACCTAGGATATGTACTGGTATATTTCAGAAGCATCAATTATCCTCTAAGGGGTTTAAATTTTTAAATAGGGTGTTTCTGCAAACCTGCAGATCTTTGGCTAGGTTCGAACCCGTTGCCTGATAAACCAACCTCAGCTGCTGAGGCAAAGGAGCCACTTTCCATTACTGCTCTAACGCAAATGTTGGTTTTAAATTTCTTGTTCCATAAACACCATCATTTTGATGGATGCACCATGAATGACATCTGTTGATAAGTGTGGCTTGGGTTCCTTTCGAAATAAACTTGAACCAGTCCGTTTGTTGTTCAGGAGCGTTGTGCTATTGTAAGCAATGAAACTGCCACTGCAGATTGGTAATTGTACTTACAGTCAATTATGATTTGTTCACGTTTTGCTGGTTTGAGCAAGCACTTTTGCAAGTGACCAAGAGAGTTCGGGCACACGAGAAAACCTCCTGTTGTGCTGTGAGAATGTAAGCGATAGATTTGTAATGTGTTGTGTTGTTGTTTTTTTAAAATGAGGAATGTTGTGCAAATGAACACAAATCTCCAAGTTGGAAAAGGTAATATCTATCTTTTATAAGCAGTGAGATGACTAGAGTATAAAGATCTATAATTCTGTAATGGATTAATTTCATAATCAAAAGCAAAACATTAGCATTAATCAGGATCAGACTTGGACTGGCCTCTGTACAAACAAGAGAATTAAAGGATAAAGCTTCTTTTTATCACTCCAGGCTACAGATCTGGTTGCTTTCTTTGAAAAGCATGAGCCACATGTTCCCTATATAAAAAGATCATTCTTCCCCTTCCCCCCCTCCGAGAAAATAGACTATATGAATGCCTGGCTGGAATTGTTCATTTGCTGTACTACTTTTTTGTGTATGGGGATGTTAATTTGTATGGAAGGCTAAAAACTATAACCTGCACCAGTAGTGGGTTTCAATTTCGGCCACTACCGGTTGCCTCGTGGGCACGCACACGCTCGTGCGCGCATGCGATGCTTCTGCGCCTGCACAGACATCCGGGCAGATGGGCGGAGCCTCCTGCTGCCACCGCTACCAGTTCGTCAGATCCGGGTGAACAGGTAGCAACCCATCACTGATCTGCACCTTCAAAAGATGTTCAAAAAATATTCAGGACATTTTGTAGCCATTGATTCAGTTGTTATAAGAAATTCATCTCTAAATGTGGGATTCTTAAAGCCTATAACAATTTAGCAGAATTGGCTGCTTTGTAATCATAATTATTTACAAACTTCAAGGCCTTAATGTTCAATACATTAGTTCAGAAAATAGGACACCTCATCCAAAAGTCCACTCATAGCCCTATATTCTCTAGCACAGAACTTCAGTGGAGAGTGAATTGTACCCATCAGCCTTTGTGAGACGAATATCTAGATTCTAGACCTACAATGTGTTTAGCCAACACGCCATGCCAGATTTGCTGCCCACCATAAGCAAGGCATTTATCCATCATTTGGCACCAGACAAGCTAGCAAACTACAAGCAGCTGGGTTTTGCTGGTTAGCTGCCATTTTGGCCTGCATCCTGGATGCTATTCAGGGGTTGGTCAGCCAATTCCTCATGGGTTGATTGTTTTAAATATAGCTTGAACAACAACAATATGGTGACTTGCTTAAGATCAAGGCCACTGTAGATAGGATGAGTAAAGTTATAGGGTTGCCAGGTCTGCTTCCAAAAAATAGCGGACAAGCGGGGGGGGGGGAGGTTGAGTAGTAAAAAAATATAAAAAATTACAATTAAATTATATATTTTCTTACAAACATTTTAACACACCATTTTAGGTCAGTCGACACAAGCTACAATACATTTTAAAAATGTGAACTGTACATAATTTTATAATGTATTTTTATTTTAATCTCATCATTAATTTTTTCGGAGAATCGAGTTCAATGGATATTCAATCTTTGTCTCATTCTAACTTATGAAAAAAAAAGACAAAACGCGATTCTCCTATCCTTGTTCTCTTAGACTGTACAGCTTTAGATTACGTACCATTTCATCATAAAGCTTTTGAATAAAAAAAATGTCCACTATTTTGTGAAAAAAAAATAGTGAACATAATGTGAAAAAAGCGGACTGTCCGCTCAAATAGTGGACACCTGGCAACCCTAAAAGTTGAATTACACTTTGCCCTTTTAGTGACCCCACTGAAGTTTGTCTATGGTGACAGGAAAAAAAATTGATAGTAGTAGTAGCAATATTATAATTGGATCTCCCCCTTTTGGTGGCTACTTCAGCCTCATATTTCTTTACTCAGAGACTGAACAAAAATTATGCATAGACGATGCATATACATTTCCCCACCTCCATGGGTTGAACAATATGTCAGACTGGTTTAGACAAATAAAATTAACTTAACTATGATTCCAGACTATGATGAGGCTTTCATCTGTATCTACAACTTAACCAATGGTCTTCATCCAGGCAGCTTGCTAGGACTAATGATGTGAACATGGATGAACTTTTGAAAAGTTTGTGTATACTTATTCAACAGGTCTGTTCCTGTTATTTCAATGATTTATATTTCAGCTGTGCACCAACTGTAGCACTAAGTCTATTCCACATCTCCTATAAGGTAGTTGATTCACTAACAGCATGGTTGTAACCGAATCCAACATACTTGGTCAATTAGTCTTGCATTGAATTTAAAATTTAGTTACAAAGGACATTGAGTCAGTAGGATCAAAATAAATTGCTTCAGGGTTTAATGTAGGGGCAAATATGGCTGCCTATACCTGCAGGATTCAGTGCATATTCTGTTCTAGAAGAACAAAATCCAGCAACATTCAGTGTATCTATAATAATCTGGCAAATTTGCTTATTTCAATTATTTCTCATGGAGATGAGCAAAGATCTCAGCTGATCTCTAATGATATCCCCATGATCACTTTTCTGAACACTAGTAAGCTTTTTTTTTTTTTAATCTAGCTTGCATTCGCTCTTTTTCGGCCTAAATGGTTTCTAGAGTGACTGGCTCATTGTCATATTGGAAGCATAGAAGCACTTCCAGGTTGAAAGATTAGCTGCTCAGGGGATGCCCAATTAGAGGTTCCTTTCATGTCCCCATTAAAATGCCCACCAAATTGGTATCCATCTATCTACTCATGATTGCTTGCTTTCAAACTGCTAGGTCAGCCAGCTGGAGCAAATGACAGGAGCTCACCCCATCATGCAGCAGCACTCAGGTCTCGAACACGGGCTTGCTGATTGTCGAGCCAGCATCCTAACCATGTGAGCCAATTCTAGAGTGTCTTAGATGATAGTAATAAGCAGATCCTCCCCGCTTTTTGGCTTAACTGAAAAGATATAACACAGAAGGAAGAGAAGAAAATAAGAAAGCTGATGCACAGTTTTTATTTTGTTGTCATAGAAATTGGAGGTTCCTACTGTTATCTCCTACAGGGACTCAAAAAAGTCAAGATGGCAGCCACACCCATGCAATCAATGTCCGTTAAATAGAGGGTGGGGGCCAGTGGTGGGTTGCCCCCGGTTCTGACCGGTTCTATAGAACTGGTAGTAAAACTGGCGGGAGGCTCCACCCACCAATCCCAACGTCATCAGAACGCTTCTGCACATGTGCAGAAGAGCACATGCACGTACGAGCAAAGCAACCTCACGCACGTGGCCCCGTTGCAAACTGGTAGTTAAGGTAAGTAGAATCGACCCCTGGTGGGGGCAATAAGATTTGCATACCTTCTTGAACTGTTTTGGGCCCCTACAGTCCCCTCCTGGACAGTCTGTCACAAGGACTCTGTGAAGAGGTGTCATCTCCTTGATGCTGCTGCTTCATCTGTACATCTGTGGCTTCTATAAAGATGGGAAGGTTCTGAAATCCACAAATGTTAAAGTTGCCAAGTTTGGACATCCCTACTTTGAGGAAAGAGAGAGATTCCTTGAGATGTTTTTTTGTTCCACTCCAGGTAGCCAAGCTATGATGTGAAGTGGGGTCCTCAGTGCCAATTCAACTCTACTGAATGCTCAGTAATCCAAAGGGGTGGGATTCAAAAAATGTAGCAACCGGTCCTCTGCCCAGTTGCTGGGTCAGCATGGCCATGGGGAGCGTCAGTGTGGGTTGCCCCTGGTTTGGACTGCTTCACAAGAACCAGTAGTAAAACTGGCAGGAGGCCCCGCCCACTGCCCTGGATGTTGTCATTGGCAATCTGCGCATGTGCAGAAGCTTCTGCACATGTGCAGAAGCAAGGCACACACACAAGGGAAGTGATTGCGTGTGCAACACAAAAGAAGCAGTGTTTACTCTGTCTGTTGCAAACCGGTAGTAAAGGTAAGTAGAACCCACCCCTGGTGGACGTGGCCTAGTCAGCCTCCTGCACCACAGTGGAGGGGGGCATTTTCACCCTCCCCAAACTCCAGAGGCTTTTCTCAAGCCTCCGGGAGGGTGAAAATGGCCTTCCCCAGGCTCCAGAGGCCCTCGGGAGGCCAGAAACAGGCCGGCTTCCAGACTTCCGGAACTTCAGGGAGGCCCATTTTTCACCCTCCTAGAGCCTCCATGTGGGCTCTGCACTTACCTGGCATCCAAAATGGGCCACGTGGAGACTCCTGGGAGGGGTGGGGTGGGTGGGTGGGGCCAGCCAGTCCTTTCAACTACCGGTTTGGCGAACCAGATGTAAAATTAGCATCCGGTTCTCCTGAACTGGTCTGAAGCAGTTGAATCCCACCCTTGACAATAACCCTTCATTTTAAACAGAAATAGTGAGGATGCTGAATTCTGCGCTCATGCTCTCATTCTTTTCTCCCCCCCCCCCGCCCACCCCATTTTGTCTCCTGGAGTCTTTGGGCAAGACCCATAGCAGCAGTCCGCGTAGGAAACAAGTGGAAAGCATTGCAACTAATGTGCAAGGCTCTGCCACCCTTAATCGACTAAGGTTTTTGAAGACTTGAGCAGTGTTTACTCTGTCTTTAAGAAGGAAATCCCCGGTGGGTTTCAGAATCCCTGTAGCTGGGGCATTACCTTAAAAGTGAAGCGAAGCCAAGCAGAAGCCCCAGCTGCTCATAATTACCATATCCACACAGACTAAACAAAGGGCTACCGCTCCACCCTCCTTCCTGATTTCCAAAGATAGGGAATCTCGGCCAGTGGTGGGACTGTGTGAATTAGATTTATACCCGTTCAGCTGCAGGATCATTCAATCAGACTGTTATTTCACATAATTGAACCTGCTAAGCACCCCATCAGAAGTCTGAGGGAACTGCGAAGTGATTGCAAGTGACAAGCAAATGCAGGCAGGAAGGGGGAAAAGGAACTATTTCAGCTTGCTGAACGCCAGCATGGCCCCCAACCCCATCCGTAAAAAGCACGGTCTTCTGGCTCAACTTGACTACAGTCTCTCTCTCTCTCTCTCTCTTTTTCCCCCCTTCAGGGCTTTTCACTTGGGATGAAGAAAAGGATTTCTGTGTGCTTTGAAGCTTGTACAGGCTGCTTCAACAGGAAGCCAGAACTTCTGTCAGTCAACAGCACATGCAAAATTTATCAAGTATATGTCTTGACACAGAGGTTGCTCTGTCATTTCTAGCTAAAGGGGGCCTGCCAAAGACTCTTTTTTATGGAAACATGTGCTGCCAAAGGCAAAGTGTCCATTGATTGATGGCCACAGCTGACCTCAATGTACAGAAAGTACTGTGCAACACTTTTTTTTTTTAAATCATCTATAAGCCAGCAAAATTTAAGTTTGAATATAACTGGAATATACTTATGCCTGGGGAAGTAAGAGACTCTGGTTTCTTGAGAGCATTCAGCTCTTGTGATTACCCTTTCTTTTAGAGTCTAGTTTAATCTTCTGTCCTTATTTACTGCTGCATCCTCTCCTCAGATCAACTTCAGTTATCTGTCCTGCAATGGCACACTGCACTTTTAGATTTTACTTTTTGAAACGCCCTAGCAACTATCGATTCACACTGTATAGAGTCTAGAACATTCTATCCTGCTTGTAACATGAAAGCATGCTTGAGGTAAAGTTGGTTATGCTAATAGCATACTGGTTAAAATGTACTCAAATAGGCATTTACTACAGTGGTGGGTTTCAAAAATTTTTACTACCGGTTCTGTGGGTGTGGCTTGGTGGGCGTGGCAGGGGAAGGATACTGTAAAATCTCCGTTCCCACCCCACTCCAGGGGAAGGATACTGCAAAATCCCCATTTCCTCCCAATCAGCTGGGACTCGAGAGGCAGAGAATAGATGGGGGTGGGGCCAGTCAGAGGTGGCATTTACCGGTTCTCCGAATTACTCAAAATTTCTGCTACCAGTTCTCCAGAACAAAGCTGAAACCCACCTCTGATTTACTACTCTTACAAGTAACAAGGAATGCTATGGGCAGCATGGGTCTGACTAAGATTGGCAACCTAACCTACATCTTCTCCATTTTGCTACAAGCATGTGAAATCCTTGATTTACCAAAGCCATGTTGAGTAATAGAACTTACTACTCTGGTGACCATGATAACATAAAGAATGTGAGATGGAATTGAAGAGAATACATGGTTAAAGTGTCATTAATAAATGTAATTAAGAGAAGAGAAATGTATAATATATGATATATATATTTTGTCTATGAAACTAAGAGAAAGAAGAAGGATCTGAAAAAGTGATCTTGTAGAAAGAAGTTGATGGATGATGGCAAGGAAATGAAGGTATAGATTTGATCATGAATGAACTAAAATATGTCCTTTCGGGCAGAGGTGAAATCCAGCAGGTTCTGACAGGTTCTGGAGAACCGGTAGCGGAAGTTTTGAGCAGTTTGGAGAACCGGTAGCGGAAATTTTGAGCAGTTGGAGAACCGGTAGCGGAAATTTTTAGTTCAGAGAACTACTGGGGTGGGAATGGAGATTTTGCAGTATCCTTCCCCTGCCACACCCACCAAGGCATGCCCACCAAGCCACGCCCACCTAGCCACACCCACAGAACCAGTAGTAAAAAAATTTAGATTTCACCACTGCTTTTGGGTATTGTGATTGGACATGAAGGGAGATCTCATGGGTTTGTAACACACTTTTGGAGAGAAAGTGTACAACCTCCTCAATTAATGCTTCCAGGAGGCTTCCCCCCCCTCCATTATATGACAGGAATGATACATGGAGATAAGACATTACAGAAAAATGGATGAGACTGTTATTTCCTCAGAAAAAATATGTGGTTTAAGCATAAGTATATTCATTCATGCACACTGCAAAGAAATAAATCTACAACTACAACATGATTTATTTGCTTCTTTGTGATTACTCTTTCTGGTGAATGAATGGATAATGGAAATAAGGGAGGACAACATGGAAATTGCTGAGAACAGAATGAAAAAATTACAGAATGGCCCAGAAGTGTGTGGCATTAAACCAATAGGAAATATGAAAAATGATATTTTACTATAATGAACTGAAAGAGGCAGTAGTGGAAGATAAAGTACATAAAGCAGAATGATTTTCCCTCCTCAAAAAGGATATTTTTAATGGGGAAGACAAAGGTTAAAAAGAAGTGACTTTCTGCCTAGAGTTTAAACATATCAGCTTCTACATGCCAAATACTGAAAATAAATATTAGAGGGGCAGGACTAGGTACCAGAAACATATAAGTACTTGGGCGTGTAATAAATTATCATGAAAATACTCAATATGAACATTCTTAGGAGAATTTTGGGGGAGATTTCAGTTCATACCAAGTTATGTTTCTGTAATTCATAGCTGCAGTGACTTCTGGTAGAAATGCTATAGTAATAGTGATTGTTCTCTCTACCACACTCCTGGCTGCCTATATTATCTGAGCAACACTTTGGAACTACTGACAAGGCTTTATATCAGAGCTTAGAGTTGGCACAGTGACTTCACTCAACCATGACACCGTTGTTGATGTAGTCTGTATTACGTTTTTTTAGTTTTCTTTCTTGCATGTGTACCATACTGTTTCACATATGTTGTCCAATATGGTTCCCACTGCCACCTATATTTATGCCTCTGATTTTTCCTACTCAGATGCAGAACTTTGCATTTATCTAAGTTGAAATTAGTCTTCTTGGTTTATACCTATTGTGATGGCTTATCAAGTTCTTCCCCATCACTTGACCTTCAATTGACACACCCACACCTGAATCCCTTATAAGCAGAATAACACTGACACTGATATCCCCTAAACTTCACTGAAGATGTTACTGAAGAAAATGAATAATAAGTTACTCTTTTATAAAAGTGTTTAATGTATTAAAAACCTACGATGTTCTTACTGTTGCAAACTGACCACAAATTGTAATTAGTAGAGACAATGTGTAATGACTTCCTAAAAGCTCCCTTGGAGACAGGAACCTACGCCTTGGGCAAAACCACTGTCAGTAAGAAAGGAACAAGGTGAAGTTAAAAGTAAACATGATAAGGTAGTCGTTGTTAGACAGGAATTGTCAAGTTGACCCTTTTAAAGTGTAAAATAACTTGGAGAATGTCTTAGGAGAATAAAGGGGAGTTGGAAGGGATTCTTAGGCATGGCGTGCATTGTGTAGGAGTATAAAATGTGTAGCTGGAAAACTGCTTCTTGCGGTCTTTGAACTCAATCCATTTGGGAAGGGTCTAAGAGGCCGCACTTGCAACCGCTTTTTATTTTTCATTTTGTCTCTGATAAACTTTTGATTTTGTGAACCAGACTTGTTTATGAATTGTGAGGATTAAACTATTTGGGTCTTATATCTCACATTACCTAGCCTGGTATCTAAATGTTTGGAAACCAACCCACAAGCTCGGAGAACAAAACTTCACTCTCATCCTACACCCAAGCTACAGATATTCACCACTATTGTTCTCTAAAATGTTGCTATCCCATTTGCTTTTGTATCAGCTGCAGGTTCATTAGTGATATTTTCTATTCTTCTATTCAAGTTGTTCATAATACATTGACTCAGGGGTGGGCTTCAAAAATTTTTCCAAGAGGTTCTCTGCTTGGTTGCTGAGTGAGCGTAGCCATGGTGGATGTCGCCTAGTCGGCCTCCTGCACCCCGGCGGGGAGTGGGTTTGCTTTCCTCGAGCCTCCAGCTTCCAAAAACGGCCTCCCCAGGCTACCGGGGCCCTCTGGAGGCTGGAAATGGGCCCATTTCTGGCCTTCCCGAACTTCCAGTAGGCCTCTTTTTTGCTCTCCCTGAGCCTCCATGTGCACCCTCCACTTACCTGCATCCAAAACGGGCCACGTGGGGACTCCTGGGAGGGGTGGGGCAGGGTGGGCAGGGCCAGCCAGAAGTTGGATTTGGGGGTTCTCCAAACTGCACAGAATCTTAGCTAGAGGTTCTCCCGAATCCCTGTGAACCCCCAGCAGCCCACCCCTGCATTGACTTCTAAGCAGTAGGCTTAATTGAGAAGACGGTGCTATATCAATTTTATTCATGCTCAAATTAGACTTTATTCTAAAAAAACAACTTGAATTTTCAGACAAGGAGAGACTAAATCCAGTTTCTCTTTCAAGATCTCTGACAGATTTACTATTCACTTCAAAATCCTTTTCACATACCTGAGCAGGATCACAAATTGACATTTTTATCTTTTTCCAGTTAAACTTACATGAAATGTAGTTTTGGAGAGTTTGGACATTGATGTGAAAGCAAGTGATCCTTGGGAATTTCAGGTGTGACTTATATTACATTTTTTTTTGTTGTTGTTCATTTAACTCTGAGACTGAATGTGAAATTCAGAAGGTAAAAATTCACTTGGAATAAAACCAAAATAAATAAAGTTGAACTGAAAAGGCTTTTCAAACTCATAAACAAACTTTGGAGTATTTGTATTCTTTAACAAACACTTAAATTCACATTTACCTCCCCAGAATGTTTTTCTTTGCTTTTGATTAGTTTGACTTTCAACTCAATTAATTTAGGTTGGATGTCCATCAGTTGTCTTTTGACTCATTTGCATATAGTGCAATCCACTAGGCAGCACTTGCAAAAAAAAAAATTGATTGCATGAGAAACTGTAGTTTACAAGTGACGGTATATCTGATAAGGTTTAAAGGCTGTATCTTTGGTTAATTAAAATTGTATTACTAAAAATCAAATTTAAAACAATATAAAAATGCAGTCAAAGCAAACATGTTAACCATGAACCACTTAGAGTACAGAGATTAGTACCTGTTGAGATTAGAAAAGGTATTTAATTGCAAAACCTCAATAAATCCTATGGTTTTGTATTGACAGGGCATCAAGATAGGGCTGACTTACAGTATCTTGACTGGTATCCTTGCTACACCAAAAGAGACATCTGTACATATAGTGGTCATGTGCAGAAGCTTCTTTTATTAATCATTCAAACAGCTCAGCTACTTGGCCTGGTGCCTTGCAGCTCAAAACCAGTATTTCAACAGCATCTTTTAAGGGGCTATTTGGATTGAAAATTCATTGAAATAAAGTGACCCCTTGAAATTTGACTGCTGGATATTGCAACAATCAGTGTGAAATTTCTGAGACAACAGAGAAAAAGGAATAGGTGATTGTTACATCTTATCTCTCTATCAAATTTGTGCAATGCATCAAGCAAATCAGACTGTTGGCAATTAACATACAATGGAAGGGTCAATAACAGTGACTGAAACATCCATGGTACAGACTAAGTTAAAATAAAAACAATAAAATATAACTTAAAAAGAAATCAGAAAAGCATAATATCAATAACCTTCAATAACATTGTCATGTCAGACTCTATAGGTGTTCTGGATAATTTCCATTTTTAGTAACTTCTGTAAAGACAGCTTGAGAGTAAGTCTAATCTCCAGCAAGAGGCAGTCCTATACGATATGTGTTGTCCACTGATAAATGGTACCTTCAGAGTTCAACTCCTTTTATCAGTTTCTTTCACCATACAGTAGAACCTCTGGTCATGACCA